CATGCAGCTGTTTGACTAGGAAGTGCTTCACTTCGGTTATTAAGGGATTATAGCAGTACATCCGAGGTCCTTAACCTCGGACCTATCCTTACACTATTCCCCCCTCGAAGTCATTCACTTGTGAATGATTAGTGTGGAAGATGAGTGTAGACGGGGATAGTCAATATAAAAATGTATGACATGAAGTCGTGTTTTTGGCTGCAGTCAAGGTAAAAATGCATGACATAGAGTCATGTGTTTTGGGTCGTAGCCAAGGAAAAAATGCATGACACGGAGTCATGTGTTATAGCCGTAGCTGAAGTAAAATTGCATGACATGGAGTCATGTGTTATGACCGTAGCCGAAGTAAAATTGATGACTCAATCACTGTGGCCAGAGCCGAAGTAATATAGGTGACGTGTGGTCACTATGGCTAGAGCCGAAGTAAAATAGGTGACGCATAGTCACTATGGCAAGAGCCCAAGTAAAATAGGTGACTTGGGGTCACTATGGCTAGAGCCGAGTTAAATAATGATGACCGGAGTCATAGCGGCCGGAGCCGAAATAATAAGTAATGACCAAAGTCATGTGGCCAAAGCTAAGGTAATAAGTAATGACCGGAGTCATGTGGCCGGAGCCATGTGGCCGGAGCCAAGGTAATAAGCAATGACCGGAGTCATAAGGGCCAGAGCCGAAATAAAAGTAATGATTGAAGTCATGTGGTTGGAGCTGAAATAAAATGTGTGACTCGGAGTCACTGTAGCCGTAGCTGAAGTAAAGATGCATGACCCATAATCATGTGTTATGGTTGTAGCTGAGAATGATAACTTGAAAATGACGACTCGAAAGTGACGATTTGCAATCTCATGATCCATAATAATGGAAGTCAGGCTTTTGAGAGTCATGCTTTATAGAGCTAGGATCAAAACCAGTTTTTGTAGAGTTGATTGAATGCCAATTTTGGTAGCTGGAGATGCCTACCACAGAATCCCACCTTGAGATGCCCATAAGAAAATCTTAGTTTCTCAAGTCATAGCATAAAATCAAACCCCTTTGAGGGTTGTGCTTTGTAGAGTTAAGGTTGAACTGAGCTTTCATAGAACAAATGAGCTGAGAAGCTGATAGTTGATGGATGCAAGCTCTTGTAGATCGAATGAGCTAAAAAAGCCAATAGCTAATGGGCTCAAAGGCCAATAGTATTTTCTGATGAACTGATAAGTTTAAAAGCTGATAACATATTTCTAAGTCTTCCAAGCCAAGGAGTTAACAAACTCATGAGACTTGTAAGAATTCATTCTAAACATAGAACTTGACAAGAT